TTTATGCTTAAAGGCATGATTCATAGCATGGTTAAGCCAACGAAATACTCTGCACATAAAAAGCTATAATCTACTGTCATAACTCATAATACAAAAAATGTGAGAAATATGTTGGAGCTGATCAAATCTCAATAAATGTGCAAAAAACTTCGAAAGCTTCAACGATTTAAGTTTATATGGTCTTTGTTAGGTTTCTGTCCTTTTTCTTATCAAATAGGCCTGATGTATATTCTAGGTCATAGGGATAAATTGACGAAAAGCAATGAATTAAGTAGCTTATTTATGCTTAAAGGCATGATTCATAGCATGGTTAAGCCAACGAAATACTCTGCACACCAAAAGCTATAATCTACTGTCATAACTCATAATACAAAAAACGTGAGAAATATGTTGGAGCTGATCAAATCTCAATAAATGTGTAAAAAACTTCGAGAGCATCAACGATTTAAGTTTATATGGTCTTTGTTTGGTTTCTGTCCTTTTTTTTTATCAAATAGGCCTGATGAGGTCATAGGGATAAATTGACGAAAAGCAATGAATTAAGTAGCTTATTTATGCTGAAAGGCATGATTCATAGCATGGTTAGGCTAACGAAATACTCTGCACACAAAAAGCTATAATCTACTATCATAATTCATAATACGCTAACTCTACAATTTGCACTAGTGTAATTCCTTATATTCTTCCGCTTCCCATGAACAAATCCATCAACCACAACCCAGATAAGGATCTGGATTCGCACATCCACCACAAAACCCTGACATTACCAACAAGCACAAGCATGGGGAACAAAGCACCCAGATTTCATCCTTCAAGGAAATATTACTAGCCTATAATTCCATGGCAGACATCAACTCGATGATCCTAGATACCCCCTATCCCCTAACAACTCAAATGTCCAAGGAGTTCAAGATGATACAACCATGAAAAGCATGATGTTGGACATTCCTACTACCGGTACTAAGGGTATCAAGGAGATAAAGTTAATTGAAGCCGACCGGAATAGGATGTACTCACCATGGAAATACTCATTGACTGTAAAATTGATTGGGAAAAGGATCTTACATCAATACCTAAGAGAAAAATAGCAAAACTTTGGAAACCCACTGAATCTTTTCCTCTAATTGACCTGAGCCATGACTACTTCATTATCAAGTTCACTAAGGAAGAAAATATGATACAAGCTCTTCAAAATGGCCCATGGTTCATTAATGGCTACTTTCTTTCAGTGTGACAATGGGAACCAAATTTTGTAGCAGAGAAAGCCAAGCAGATTCACACGGCAGTCTGGGTACGACTACCACAACTTCCTACAGAATTCTACGACGGCATAATACTAAAAAAAATTGGTAACTCAATTGGAAAGCTCCTCAAAATTGACGCCTGCACTAGTACTACCCTTAGAGGAAGATATACGCGACTCTGTATTGAATTGCCAACAAATAAACCAGTTCAAACATGCATCCTAATAGGCACACACCTACAACAATTAGTTTATGAATGGAATAACTTCTTATGCAAAAATTGTGGCCACCTTGGGCACACAGTAAACACATGCCTCCAAGCACCAAAAAATACAGGGATAACGCCAGATTATAACAACAGTTTGCAGAACTATGACAAAGAAAATAACAACCCACAACTTTCACTAAAAGATCAATGGCAAATAGTCACCTTCAATAGGCGGAGGAACCAAGGGAAAGGGAAAGCATTGGAAAAATAACTCGGAACTTCCTTGGCCAACAACCCACAACCAAGTACTAGTATTGATGTTAAAATCTACGACGCAGTGTCAGGTAAGTATCTCAACACCCAAAAATTAACTTATAAAGCTATTAATAACCCTATATTTTTTAATAACTCTGACAATATGGGCCCTAGCAATATTAATACAATCTCACATCCTAATGTTAAGGAAGATGAATTAATTCCCACTTCTAATAAATTCGATTCTCTGTTAAATCAGTAATCCATCTCTATCACTGCAGAGAAACAAACAATTTCTGTCAATGACAAATGTCACGACCCAAAATCCCGCCCCAAGCGTCGTGATGGCACTTAGTCTCTAAGATTAGGTAAACTGATTACAATTTTATTTCAAGCCATTTTTTTAAACATATAATTTAATACAAGTGTCGAAATCAAAAGCGAAAACAAATATAACAACCTCCCAAGACTGGTAATACTAAGTCATGAACTCTAGCTGAATACGTGCAATGATCTCAAGGATCGAATATAGAATACTGTTCGAATAAGAGTTGACAGTTCAATAAAATAAAAAGACTCCAAGGGACGACCAAGCAGCCCTACCTCGAATCCTTGCGATCGCACTCTAATCTCTGCCCGAATCCGATATCTCCAATACCTAGCTCTGCACAAAAATGTGCAGAAGTATAGTATGAGTACACCACAGTCGGTACCCAATAAGCATCAAGACTAACCTCGGTAGAGTAGTGACGAGGTACAGTCAAGACACTCACTAGTCGAATAATCTGTGCAGTATAGCATACAAAAATAATAAAAATACAAATAGCAGTGATAGCAACAATAATCAACTAGTGATATAAACAGCAAGGCAACAAGAACACCATAAATATTGCCCAAACGAATAATGAACACAAGCACCACCAATTAATCAAGTCCCTCAAAATATACATCTTTTATCTACAAGTTCTTCGAATAGAAATCTTTAGAATATAATCCTTTCAAATAAATATCTTACGAATATACTTCTTTCAAATAAATATCTTTCGAATATAATTCTTCAAATAAAATCTTTCGAATATAATTCTTTCAAATAAATATCCTTCGAATATAATTCTTTCAAATAAATATCTTTCGAATATAATTCTTTCAAATAAAATATTTCGAATATAATTCTTTCAAATAAATATCTTTCTTATATAATTCTTTCAAATAAGTATCTTTTGAATATAATTCTTTCAAATAAAATCTTTTGAATATAATTCCTTTCAAGTAAAAGTCACCATCTGACACCTCATTTCATAATCGTAAAAATTACGGGTCTCAGCCCACTTTCATTTTTTCACGGCACCTCGTGCCCATATCTCTATCACAACCGTACGAACAACTCACGCAGCCAATATTATCATCATTTACTCATGACACCTCGTATCTACATTTCATATCATAAATGCACGGACAATTCACAAGGCATAAGATATAATAATATAATAAAATGACTAAGAAGTGAACAATGAGAAATTACAGGAAGAAAACAACACAACAAATAGAGTAAACAACTGGGGCGCTCCCGAGGTACCACCTCGTAGTCCCAAAAGTAAATACATAACAGAGGAGATCCTGAGATACCATCTCATAGTCCCAAAAGTAAATATGCAACAAGGGAGCTCCCGAGGTACCGCCTCGTAGTCCCAAAAGTAAATATGCAACGGGGGGATCTCCTGAGGTACCGCCTCATAGTATAAAAGTAAATATGCAAACAGGAGAGCTCCCAAGGTACCGCCTCGTAGTCCCAAAAGTACATATGCAACAGGGGAATCTCCCAAGGTACCGCCTCATAGTCCAAAAAGTAAATATGCAAACAGGGGGAGCTCCCGAGGTACCGCCTCATAGTCCCAAAAGTAAATATGCAGCAGGGGGATCTCCCGAGGTACCGCCTCGTAGTCCCAAAAGTAAATATGCAAACAGGAGGATCTCCCGAAGTACTGTCTCGTAGTCCCAAAAGTAAATATGCAGCAGTGGGATCTCCCGAGGTACCGCCTCGTAGTCCCAAAAGTAAATATGCAAACAGGGGGATATCCCGAGGCACCGCCTCGTAGTCCCAAAAGTAAATATGCAAACAGGGGGATATCCCGAGGCACCGCCTCGTAGTCCCAAAAGTAAATATGCAACAGGGGGATCTTCCGAGGTACCGCCTCGTAGTCCCAAAATAAATATGAACCAGCAAAGATGAAAAAATAACTCAGCAAGAACAACCTCCTTTTTAATCCAAAATTTCTAATAATTATATTAACGTCTCAATCTAAACTTATTTAATTAATTATTTGCATATGAAAAAGTTATAATGTAATTATTTTCAGAAAATATAAACTCAACAAGCATACGGAATTCACATAAAAATCAAAGTAGCAATCACATCAATTTATCATATAAAACACATTCGACAAACAAGAAACGAGGCATGGCAAATAAGGATTTAATAAGTGCCAGAAATTTCTAATTTAATACTTAAAAATGTCTATGACTTTAAACCAATAAAATTTATACATATAATCCTGAGTATGTACTCGTCACCTCGTGTACACGGCTTTCACATTACACAAAATGGCACATATGACTCAATGCCTAAGGGGTAATTTTTCCACTAAAGGTTAGATAAGATACTTACCTTTTTGAAGTTATGCTGATATTCCAAAATAACCTTCTTGCTTGAATTGACCTCCGGACAGCTCAAATCTATTCAAATTAATTGTATAACTTCATTAAAATTCATCAAAAATAATTCTGGATAATAAAACATCGACTTAAAATTTTATATTAAAAAGTCAACCAAAGGTTAACACGGGGCCTGCCTCTAAGAACCCAATAGAATTTGTACGAAATTCGAATACCCATTCCGATACGAGTCCAACCATACTAATTTTATCAAATTCCGATAACAACGCGACCTCCAAATCTTAAATTTTTGTTCTTGAAAAGTTTTTTTTGCAAAAATCTTGATTTTCTCCATTAAAACTCAAATTAAACGATGAATATAACCATGGATTTATGAAATATAATTACTTTTGAATGTAGAACACTTACCCCAGTCGAAGTCGTGAAGAAATCCTCAAAATCACCCAAGAACCGAGCTCCAAAAATCCCAATCGAAAATAAAGAAATGACCATTTTTGGGTCCTTAACATTCTGCCTAGTTTCGGCTTCTGCAGACATATTTGCGCATCTGCGGAGTGCACTGCCCAGCTGAGGCCTCACATCTGCGGACGAATTTCTGCTTCTGCGCGAGCGCTTTTGCGATGGCCATACGCGCACCTGCGGACGAGCCACTTCTGCGTTCCCTCTTGCGCTTTTGCGGTCATGCAGGTGCGTAAAATGCGTTGCACCTGTGACTTATGCCCAGTCTATCCAATGTTGCTTCTGCGAGATTGCTTCTGCGATGAAGCATCCGCAGCAGCGAGAACACCAGCAGCAGATTTTCAGCAGCTTCTTCAAGTCCAAAAATCAATCCGTTAACCATCCGGAATTCACCCGAGGCCCTCGGTACCTTAACCAAATATACCAATACGTCCTAAAGTATAACACGAACTTAGTCGAGGCCTCATACCACGTCAAACCACGTCGAATTTATGAATCGCGCCTCGAATCGAATTATGAGTTTTCAAATCTTCCAACTTCTATAATTGGCGCAGAAACGTATCAAATCAATCCGGAATGACTTCAAATTTTGCGCACAAGTCATAAATGACGTAATGGAGCTATTCCAATTTTTGAAATCAAATTTCGACCCCGATATCAATAAAGTCAACTCCCGGTCAAACTTTCTAATAATCTTCTATTTTCCAACTTTCGCCAAAATGCGTCAAATTGTCCTACGGACTTTCAAATCTAAATTCGGACATACACCTAAGTCCGAAATAACCATACGAAGCTATTGACATCATCAAAATTCTATTCCGGAGTCGTTTGCTTAAAAGTAAATCTTCAGTCAACTTTTTTCATTTAAGCTTCAAAAATAAGGATTATTTTTTCAATTTAATTCTAAACCTTCCAAAAGTCAAACTCGACCGCACACGCAAGTCAAAATACATATTACGAAGTTGCTCGAGACCTTAAATCATTAAACGAAACGTAAGTTCTCAAAATAACAAGTCGGATCGTTACAACAAACATTCTGCATACATGTCTCTTTCGATAACTCCAAAGCAATCCATAGCCTTTAAAAGCGCAGCCACTAACGAATGAGCATGTGGAGACTCAAAAATATGCAATTACTTAAACCCTAATCTACTAGCCAACTAATCACCCTACCTATGCAGATAACTTGTAAGCTGCATCTCCTTCTAACCAAATATTACAACAACATTTGTCAAAGGAAATCAGCCAAGTGTCAATGATAACACTCCCTCCGATCACCGAAAATCCTCCTCCCTAATATTCCCCTTATCTCATGCATGCAAAATCTTCTCCATTAGATTTGGAATCATTAACGACTATTCACTCAACCACAACATCTATATCTTCCCCTTCGAAAAATCATGAACAACATCCAGACCAACCTCAACAAAGCCAGAATTCTATCAAACTCCCTTCTAAGGAAAACGGTGGCTCATTTTCCACCTTTCCCACCACAAAATTCCGTTTCATCCCCCAACTTTTGTATCACCACCCCCGACTCCCAACCAAGACCCAGGGGCGGATCCACGCGTAAGGTTCTGGGTGCTGCAGCACCCACTGACCCCGACTGAGACTCTGTATATTTATATAAAGATTTTATGAAAACTGATATAATATTTGGGCAAGCATCCATTAACCAAAAAGTTTAATGGGTACTTTGGTTTGGAGCTTGAAGTTAAGCCGCTTGTTAATCCGATGTTGCGAGATCGATTCCCGCTTGCAGCATCAATTTTTCCAAAAAAAATACTTTTCCTTATTATATAAAGCGTTGACTCCCTTGTTTTCTAATCCTTTTTAATGATGACTTATAACTTACCTTTCACAGTAAAGAAATCACAGTATACACAATGATTAACAAGTTTTCTTGACCTCCCTGTCTCAAAGTTAAAACACAAGGAACAAGATAATAGTATTTGGTATTTTGATTAAAGCTAGAGATTTTGGGTATAAATAGTAATATTCTATCGAAGATAGTTGGTTTTATAAATTATAATTCTTATTACTTATGCTTTGTAAAATAGAATCATTAATATTTTTTAATGAATTTTGTAACTATTTTGTGGCAAATAAACATGAAAAATAAATTTATCTCTATTTCTGATTTACTTAATTTCAAAACTGAATATTTTTGGGATAAATGAAGGTTATTAGCATCAGTTTATGCGATTGATAAATTTATCCCATTGGATCATTGCTTCAAAAATTTGTAAGTTTTCATCTTGTCTTCCGAAAGAATAATATTTCTGATATATTTAGTTATAAAAAATGTGATCAATTTTTCAGTTCAATGTGTTAAATATGTTGTTATTGCCTTATTATTTGTATTGTTATATAGGGGCATGAGTTCCCCAATAGGTTTTAGTTGAATTATTTGAACTGAATTTTAGGTAAAATTGAATCTTATTATGTAGGAATATTTCATCAATCTTTGTGAATCGAGATGGATAGGTTTGTCACAAGAACGAATGTTGGGCAACCAAGTTCTAGTTCTACCCATCCATCTATTGCGTCATCCATAGCTCCGAAAATTCAGAGGGGCACATTTCTTTATGATCTTTATTTAGAATCTCTCAACGCTGATCCGGGAGATAAAAAAACATATTACAGAATATAACCCTAATATACGTGATGAAGTTAGGAGACATTATATTCAAAAAAGCCTTGCCAGCCCGTGAATCATGATTTCCTAAAACTAAATTTGGGAAGATAATGCGTCAGTTTTGTCCTGGTTGATTTAAGGGTCAACATTCTAAGTGGTTGGAGTACAGTATATCAAAAGATGTTGCATATTGTTTGTGTTGCTATTTTTTCAAAAATGAACATGAAAGTCATGGAAAAACGGTAGATGCTTTTACAAAAAATGGCTTTAAAGCTTGGAATAAGGCTATTGAAAGATTTAAAGTTCATGTTGGAGAAGTAAATAGCATCCACAATAAGTGTTTCAACAGGATGCTTGATTTAATGAATCAATCACAATCAATTCGCACTTCTTTTGACAAACAAACCGAGAAAGAAAAAAGTGATTCTCGACGTTGATTGAGTGCTTCAATCGATGTGGCAAGATTTCTTTTGAGACTAGGTTTTCTATTCTGGGCATGATAAGAGTCAATCTTCTACAAACAGAGGTATCTTTCTTGAGCTTTTGCAATGGTATGGAGATATTGATCGGGATGTTGGAAGCATTATATTAGAAAATTCTCCAAAGAATGAAGTGATGTATTCTCCAAGTATTCAAAAAGATATTATAGATGCTTGTGCTAAAGAAACAATCAAAGCTATCATTGAAGACCTGGATGGGGATTTTTTCGGGATACTAGTTGATGAATCAAAAGATATATCACACAAGGAGCAAATGGCACTTGTTTTGAGATATGTTAACAAGGAAGGCGAAGTAATAGAGAGATTTGTTGGTATTGTTCATGTTAGTAATACATCAACTATGTCATTAAAAAAGGCAATCTGCTCCTTTCTTTCTGATCACTCAATAAGTCCAACGCAAATACGTGGGCAAGGTTATGATGGGTCTAGTAACATGCAGGGAGAGCTAAATGGTATTAAGACTTTGATTATGAATGAGTCTCCATCAGCATATTGCATTCACTATTTTGCTCACTAATTACAATTAACACTTATGGCTCTTGCAAAGAAGCATTCAGATGTAGATAACTTTTTTTGTATAGTTGTTAATGTCTTAAATATTGTTGGAGCATCTTTTAAGAGCAGGGATTTGCTTCGAGAACATCAAGTTGAAAAGTTAGAGGAGTTGCTCAAATCAGGTGAAATGCTTACTGGACGAGGTAAATCAAGAAACGTGGGCTTCAACGAGCAGGTGATACTCGTTGGGGTTCTCATTATAAAACATTGGATAACCTTATTGTCCTATTTCCATCAATTATTTATGTTGTTGAATTTACTGCACGTGAGTGTCCAAACTATGTCGATAGAATTGTTGCTGAAAGTCTTATAGGTAAGATTAAGGAATTTGATTTTGTTTTTATACACTTGATGTTAAAAGTTCTAATAATGACAGATGAGTTGAGTTGTGCATTACAAAGGATAGATCAAGATATTGTCAATGCTATGGGAGTCCTTGCTCTTACAAAGCAACGATTACAAATGATGAGGAATAGTGAATTTGAATCTTTGATGAAAGATGTCTCTTCTTTCTGTGATAAACATGATATAATGATTCCAAAGATGGATACTCTCTACTTTCCTGGGAAGTCGAAGCGTAGAGCTCTTGATGTTACATATTCTCATCATTTACTTGTTGAACATTTTTATGGTGTTATAGATTTGCATTTTAAAGAGCTTAACCGTCGCTTTAATGTTGTAAGTACTGACTTACTCCACGATATGGCTAGTTTAAATCCAGTTAATTCATTTGGTAATTTTGATAAGAACAGGTTAATGAGGTTGGTTGAATATTATCCGAATGAGTTTGATAGCATCAAGCTTCGAGATCTCAGTTGTCAGCTTGATAGTTTTATAGTTTATGCCCGTGGTATTGACAAAAAGTTTTTTGGTATGAAGGAATTAGTGACCTTGCTAAAGTGTTGGTTAAGTCAGATCTGCATCAAACTTGGCTGCTTGCTTATTTGCTTATCAAGTTAACTCCCATTCTTCTTGTTGCTACAACTTATATGGAACGAGCTTTCTCATCCATGAACTACATCAAAAATGAACTTCATAACAACATCGGTGATGAATTTTTAAATAATTGTTTAATTTGCTATGTAGAGCGTAAAATATTTGCAAATATCAGCAATGATGCTATTATTCATCGTTTTCAACATATGAAAAGTCGTCGAGCACAGTTGTGAGTTATGACTAGAAGTCATTTTTGGTAATGACAATAGTAATAGTATTTTTCTCATTAACTTTTTTCACGGCCCCATTCGAATAATTTGTACTTATACTATATGGTTGTTTGCACCTTTATATTAAAATAAAGTGAGCACCCACGACCTTAAAACCCTGGATCCACCACTGTCAAGACCCACAAACTTGGATAGAACAGGGGCTATAAGGACATGCAGCCTTTTTCTCGATGATCATCAATAGTTAGGAAGTATGGATTGTTCTACAAAATCCAAACTTCCTAGCATAACTAATCTCCGAATGAATAGCCCTAGCAATGGGGAATTACATAAATCACATGTGGCTGACCAACATTATCAATCCATTAGCCCCAGCTCTACCTCTTGTCCTCTTTCATAATATGCAAGCACACTGGAATCTCCTGCACAACTTCAACCCTCTCAACAACATGGAGTTACTATATCAACTCCCCTTCTTCACTCATGTCAATCAAGTGACGGACCACCCAATGTTTTACCCATGGCAGCCAATCCCACAACACAATCCGATCCCACTGGATATCCACAACCAACAACACCCTTACAACGAGAAAGAACAAGAGGATCAAGAGATATTAGAAGAGATGGTAGAGGAAATAATCATTCCACGGGTTAGAGGATCATTTACCAAAATTTCAAGCATCATAGAAGCATCTCTCATGTTATTCCAAGAGATGGAGGACAGAAAATACATATTCAAGTACCCAATGGCCCTCTACAAATGCTCCATCGACATCCGACCTCCAATCCTAGAAGCGACAGGGAACTTCGCAGTAGTACTAAGCCTATCTCCGAGGAAATTCACTTAACTCTGACAGGAGGGGCTAGGGAACAATAATCTCAACATCAATCATCTCCTAATGAATAGGTCAATGAGTCTTGTAGTCTGGAATATTAGAGGTGTGAACAATGATGATTTTAAAAGAAATTTTAGGGAACATCTTAATATTCATAACCCTGACATGGTTGTACTGTTGGAAACCAAAATGACTGATCATACCTCTCTCCGTGATGAGTTTCACTTCTCTGATATGCTCGAGGTTCCAGCTGTAGGCTTTGCTTGAGGAATAGTTATTTTTTGGTTTGGAAATTTAGTTACAATCAATCTCATAAGCAAATCCCATCAAGAAATCCATACAATACTCCAGGTATCTCCTATCCATCCCCCTAGTCTTATTAGTATTATATATGCCAGTACTTCTCTTAATCTTCGTAGTAATCTTTGGAATAGACTTTGTGCCATAGCGGATACTTATCAAGGCCCTTGGCTAGTATGTGAGGATTTTAATGAAATTCTCTCTCAAAATGAAAAATGGGGTGGTAGAACTATTAACTCTCAACGTTCCTCATGCTTTTGGTCATGTGTGAATTACTGTAACCTAATAGACCTAGGCTTTAAAGGAGCGAAATATACCTGGACTAACCGTAGAGTTAACTACAATGGTCTAATCCTAGAGCGAATAGATAGATGTCTTGCTAATACTTTGTGGCTCGACCAATACCCTGATGCGTCTATCACTCATCTACCTAGAACTTACTTAGATCATACCCTTCTACTTCTCCAATTCACCAAGCATGCCCCTCCCCTTAGTAAGAAACTCTTTAGGCTCAAAATCTTTTGGTGTTATCACCATGAATTTGACACTATTGTCGAAGACTCTTGGCATGAGAGACAACTCCTTGAAGCCACTGACTATTTCCAACATAGGGTTTTACACTGGGCAAAGTCTAACTTTGATAATATTAATAGGAAGAAAAATAGAATTTTTGCGAGACTTTATTCAATCCTACCCGAAATATCCTACTAGCCATTTTCTATATCTTCTGGAAAATGATCTTATATTTGAATATAACAACATCTTGAAAATAGAGGAAGACTATTGAAAAATTCGATCTCGTATTAATTGGCTTAACGATGGGGATGCTAATACAAAATTCTTCTACCTAAATGTAGTGAATCGTAGAAGAAAAAATAGTATCTCTTTTTTCAAAAATAGTGATGGCAACTGGTCCAGCACAAATCCTCAATCACACTACTGATTTTTTCCAAAAAGCTTTCCAAACTTACCATATAGATACGCCTTTTCAAAATATCCTCAATTCATAAACTTGCTTCGAAAACATAGATCTCTCGGAATTGGATTGCCCATTAAAAGACTTTGAAGTTACCTGTGCTATATTTTCATTTAAACCTTTTAAGGCCCCGACCCCCGATGGAATCCACCCTTTTTTTAACAAAATTATTGGCATGTAGTTAGAAATTCTGTTTTAACTTTGTGCCACGATAATTTTAAGAATCTCTCAATTCCGGAAACTCTAAACTCTACCTATATCTACCTCATTCCAAAGTTTCACAATGCGTACAACCTCAATAATGTTTGCCCTATAGGACTTTGCAACACTATCTACAAAGTTATTACAAAACTTAGTGTTAACAGAATTAAGCCCTACCTTGATAGGCTAATCGAGCCCTATCAATCTTATTTCCTCAAAGGCAGAAGAACTAGAGACAACACCATTATTATTCAAGAAATCGTTAACCATTTTAAAAAATTTAAGGGTCGCCGAGAAAAAGTCCTTTTAAAGATCGATCTGAAAAAGGATTTCGACACGCTTGAATGGTCCTTCATTTACCCTGCTCTTCTCTTCTTTAAGTTTCCCCTACGAATCACCAAGCTTATCATGAGCTGCATCAGTACATCTAGAATTGCTATTTTGGTTAACGGGTCCAAAATAAATTTTTTCATTCATCTAGAGGTATACGACAAGGCGATCAAATATCACCATACCTTTTTATACTTTGTATGGAATTACTATCCAAATATATAAACCAGTAGGTGAATATTAGACTCTGGGATCCAATCAAACTCAATCCCACTGTACTATCATTTTCTCATCTATTCTATGCGGATGACTTAACTCTTTCAGCTAATGCCAACTTAAAGTCAATCCACACAATAAAGTGAAGCCTTCTTTTCTTTTCTCAAATATCTGGACAAAAAATCAATAATACCAAATCCAAAATCATCTTTTCCCAAAATTATGACACTCAAACCAAAACACACCTCGCGAATATCTTCAGCATTAAAATCAGTGATAGTTTTGGTAAATACTTGGGATTCCCTATTCTCGCACGTAAATGTAAGGTCTCTGACTTACAGTACATCATTGACAACATGAATTCTAAGCTTACTAGTTGAAAAATAAACTTTCTTTCAATTGTGGGGAGAACAACCCTAGCTAGATCAACTCTTAACTCTATCCCAAACCATTCAATGCAATACCTCCTCCCCCTCCTTCACACTCAAGTAAATTGACAAAATTTAAAGAGATTTTATCTGGGGCACTACCACTCTGAAAAAGAAAATTCATTACATCAAAATGGACCAATGTCACTCAACCCAAACAAGTTGGGGGCCTATGACTTAGTAAAGTAGCTGATAAAAACATGGTCTCGCTTGCCAGTCTCTCTTGGAGACTAATCATCAACCTAAGTTCCATATGGTCTGCCATACTAATTAGCCAATACAAGTATAAGAAAAATCTCACCCCTCACTCTTTCAACTGGAACAATATTCTGACAGGTTGGAAAACCTGTGGTAAGGGTATTGAATCGGTGATTGGTCCAGAAAATATTAGTTGTTGGTTCTCCGCGTGGATACCTAGTCTCCCACCTCTAAATACTCTCATTCAAGGGCCGCTGAATCAATCTGACCTAACTCTTAAAATCAAGGACCTTTGTTTTTTTTTTTTTTTA